AAAAAAAAAAAAAAGTCAACATTCTGCGACGATCTCCTCCGTCTCCTCTCCCCCCCCCACTTCGGCCGCAGCGTAGCTGCGGCAGGTCCACTTGTTTTCTTAAAGCAAAGCCGGAAACCAAGCCGGAGATAAGTCAGGGTACTTTTTCCGTTGACCCACACGTGGTACAGTGGCAAACATGGAAAATGCAACTAATTGGCATGACATTTATTTCACGGTCTAGAATCTAGATGTTTTTTCTTCATTTTTCTGTCATTGTTTTCTGGAAAGATCAAGACCTAATCTACAGAATCTCAGTTTTGTAAATTCTTCTGAGCGCGAAAACCCGCCAAAGTTGGCGATTTGAAATTTGCAGGACGGGACCCACCTGCACCTGCCGGTCGCCCTCCCCCCAGTAAAACCCGGTCCGCACGGCCAGGAAAGCCGAAGTTTCAACATCGGGGGTAGTGGTGGTTTAATTGGATGATTGATGGGCTGATTGGTTGATTGATTGAGTTTTTGCTGTTCTTCGAACGAGGGCGGCGGGGTGGGGAGGTGGTTGAGCCCTGATTTTCTTGAGGGCGGGGGAAGTTTTTTTGCTATGGGGGCTGAGAGGGCTTTCCACCCCCCACCTGCATCGACTTCAGCATGAGCTTACGAGGACAGCGAGGGGGATAGCGCATATGTGAGAAAGGCACAACCATCGAAGAGACGGGCACAAGGGAGCACAAGTGTATTTCAAAGTCAGCATGCGCTACAGCGACCATACATGGGGAGAAGGGTTGTAGGAGGGAGAAGCGGGTGGAGGTTAAGGGAGCGAAGGAGTGGAACGACCCTCAGTTCGAGTATGGGGAGTTTGTTCAAGGAGGCTATGGCATAGGAGGCTTGGAGACCGAAGATGGACAGGGAGCGAACACGAGCTGGGGGCAAGTGGGAATGGGGTCATAGCGCGTGGCTGGGAGATAGTGAGTACGGAGCAGCGAAGCACTTGCGACAATGCCTGGAGTGCCCAGAGCACGGACGAAGGTGGAATGGTCAAGGGTCGATGGAGCACCCTGCTATTCTAAAGTCGGCTGCATCTTCACTCACCAACATCGATTCGAGAACTTTGCTCAAAGCTAGCATGCCATTACCAATTCTGAAACTTCGCATCATTGGTTAATCAGGTCGAGCTCTCTGTTCAATATTACCGCCCCCAGGAGCTCAGCTTGACACTACAGTCAAAGCCCGCCTCAGGGTAGGATGGCTTGCAGCGTTGGAGTCAAGTAATTAGTACACTTACCCGAGCACTGGGTGCTGGAATCCGGCACCCATTGGTGCAGTCACTGAGCTCGTGCCGAGGTGAGTTGACAGGTCACCAGCTGTGGGTTTCTTAGAAGGGCTGGTTACTAGCGAACTAAGCACTCTCTTTACGAGGCTGATAGATGTTGCTGCCTTTGTCGAGTCTGTGCTAAGGCGAGTCAGTGAGTCTCAAGCTGCATTGTCTGTCCCTGTTACTTGGCGAGCTTACCCGTAAATGTTTCATGACAAACCGATAGTCATTGGTGTCATTTCCAAGTTTTAGCTAAGGCTGACCAACGGGTCTGGTGTGCTGCACTGCCCTTTTCTTCGAGGTTTCGGGAACGGGCTGACCTGCCCAACGCTCTAGGTATGCCCTATGGACAGGGTGTGTCTGTGATAAAGACTTCGAGCAACTCTTTCGAATCTCTTGAAGCTCTTCTGACTGGTGTGCTCACTCAAGCGAGTGTATGTTAAACTTGAGAAATCTTTAAGCGTGGAACAAAGCTTAAACTGCATTGCCTGTTTCCTCAAGGTTCTGACACTCGGTGAGCCTGTCTGAAGCTTGTGTTGCATATGCCCGGAGGTCGGGGTGTGCCTGTAACAAAGGTCGAGCTACTCTGTCAAATCTCATGGAGCTCTGTCGAGTAGTGCGCTTGCTCTAGTGCGAGGATATCGAAGTCAAGAACCCTGTTACACTTGAAACAAAGCTCAAGTTGCATTGTATGTTTCCTTGATGGTCTGGTACTTAGTGAACTTGCCCAGAGTCCATGTTGAGCAAGGTCCAGGAGGCAGGGTAAGCCTATAACAAAAACTCGAACTGCTTGCTTGTTCTTTGAGTATCTGGTAATTGGTGTGTGTGCTGGTGCTGAAAAGGGAACTGCTGCTCGGGTGAGCATTGCCTTTTCGCCCAGGGGCTGGAACTGTTGTTGACAATGATTTCCGATTCCCAGGCCGTCGAAGCTTGCATAATAGCTTCACGGAAGCATGCTTGACTCGTACCGCAAGAAGCTTCGTTTTAGCGGCACGAGTTTGGGCACGACGGCCAACTTATCCTGCACGGGTACTCCCTCCTATTGTGGTGATTTCAGGGTGAGTGAGCCACCCCATCCCGGGTTCTCTCGTTCATACTTGACCTTGAGCATCAAACGAACTTTCCGAGCTGACCTGTAGCAACCTGTGGGCCTTAAGATCAGACGTTTATCCTGGAGGTGTGGTTCTCTTGTTCTCGACTGCCCTCGAGGACCCGACAAGCTTTCAAAGCTGATCTGTCGAAACCTGTGGGCCTTATCGTCGGTACTTCATCCTGGAGGTGGTGTCCTTTCTCCATGGTCTGCGAGCTGAGCGGAAAAGGGAATCCCTGCGGTTGTCATTCACTAGTGACCTTGAGCTCGGCTGCAACACTGGCAATACGGAGGTGCAACGGAGATCCCTGGATTAAGGGTATGGAACTCTGATGGGGTGCCTGGACTAAGGCTACTCCCAGTATGTGCACAGCAGAATGCGCAGCCGTATGCTCGGCATCTGCTCTCAGACGCAAGTGCCGAGTGGAATCCTGCTTGGGGGAAAGCAATCTGGGAACATATCTGACTTGAGAATGTCTTGGCCAGTGAGGGTGCTGGGCCTGAGAATAGCCGCCCTGACTACGTTGGGTCTGAGAATAGCCGCCTTCACTATGTCGTCCGTCACTACCACATATGCCACAGGGTAATCCATTTCCAGACGTCCTTTGTCATGTTTCAAGTTCCAGATGCACGCCCTTCTACTCATTGGGGTTTTCTGTCTACTGCCGAGTTGTGTTAGGAAGTGTGAACCTCATTCCGCCACTTGCCAAATGTGAATACCTTGACAGCACCTATTTCAATGCACACTCACAATTTTTCACATAACAAGCATAATGATAAGTAAAATACCAAACCTGCAATTTACCCTTCAATTTTAAAAGAAGGTGCAGAACGCATACAGAGCATGCGAAGTCCAGCTGAATCACCGAGGTCTGAGAAATGTCTCTGTTTACATGCAGTCTTAATAGATATCCGAAACTCGTCCTTTTCTGCACGAATTCGATGCACTCAACCAGTCTTTCCAAATCAAATGACAATTGGTCAGATTGGCACCATGAGTGGTCTGAACCACCAGTTCACACAACAAACCTAGTTGACAAACCTACCTTCCCACTCTTGCGAACCTGCAACTGCGCCTTCTCAAAGTGGCGTACCGGTTTCGCTACCAGCCCGGCCCCAACTCGAAATGCTCTTACCGCGTAAACCGGTGAGAGCACTCTACTGAAATTCGTGTGAGGTGGTGCTTTAAGGGCTCAGTTTGGGGGGGGAAAAAAGACAAAAAAAGGGCTCGGTTTGGAGCCAAGCTCAGTGATTCTGAATCTTTTTCTGATATGGACTGCAAATCTGTGCAACATTGCACTCTGATCATATACACCAGCCCCGCCAGTATACCTTTGGAGATAAGCTGTGCATCACTACATTGCCGGTTTCGCAATGGTGTTCAATTCTCTCTACATCAAGATGTGAGAAATGTCCTTAAGAGGCAATGGCATAACAAAACCTTCTTCTAGAGTTGTCATCATATGCAAGTCGTACCTGTACAATGAGATGAGAGAATTCAGGTGAGGACCTTTCTAACCTTCCTTCCTCTCCATCCCCATTCCCCACCCTCTTTCAGGCTTGCTGAAGACTATCCACACACCTCTTATCCGTCAGCTGCGTTCTGCACATTTGAACAGAAGGTGATGCCTGCCCGCAGCTTGCAGTATTGGTATGTGGAACATTCTGGCAGCCCCGAAGGGCTTCTTCTGGGGCTGATTGACTGAATGGCACAGCCATCAGTGAGAGGAGAGAGGGAGAGAGGGAGAGAGGAAGGGAGCACCAGAGAAAAGCAGCACCAGAGAGTTGCTCCTTGAATGGCACTGCCAATAGCCATGCAATTGGCAAGAGGAGAGAGGGAGAGAGGAAGTAGCAGTTAATAAAAGACAAAACAGTAATCCGCTGACCGAAGGAAGCAGCAAGAGGAAGGAAGGTGGATGCAAGAGAGAGAGAGAGAGAGAGAGAGAGAGAGAGAGAGAGAGAGAGAGAGAGAGAGAGAGAGAGAGAGAGAGAGAGAGANGAGAGAGAGAGAGAGAGAGAGAGAGAGAGAGAGAGAGAGAGAGAGAGAGAGAGAGAGAGAGAGAGAGAGAGAGTCTTGACAAACTTCCATTGGCTTATTTTGAAATGTTTTTCCTTTCCAACTGAAATAAAATCATCGATCCCAGAAAGTAGTGAGAACGTACTGAGACAAGCTCAGGTTAGCAAGTGGGAATTCGAAGTGTGGTGGGAACAGAGCAAACTTCATTGCAAATCATTTTCTCGTCTTTGTTCAAGGAGCGCCATTTGCCTGCCTGCACCTCGCAAAATGGAAATGATAATGATGCCTATGTGACCATGTGAATAGTCCATGGCATTCACATACGACACATCTTCTTCCTTGGAAGCCATCCTTTCCCCTCTCCCACGCACCCCCCCCCCCCCCCCCCCCCCCCCCCCCCCCCCCTTTCCCCCCCTGCCCAAACCCTACCCACTCCCTTGAAAAGGGGTCAAACCACAAATCCATGAGAGCATCACAAAAGCAACAAAAGAATCCAGAGGTAAATTCTTACATAAAAGCCAGTCAACCCCCGAGTTTCTCACACTCAAAAATCTCTCTCCATATAATCCCCTCCCTTCCACCATCCGCTGCCACCTGCACTTGAGCCACAGTCCACATCATAGCCGTACAAATCTCCTCCATAGCTCTCATGCAATCACTGTTTCCACTGCTGCAGCACCTCCCCAAGAGACATAAGCGTTAGTGTTTAGATGATTCAGACTTAACCTTCTTCTTCGCTGGAGCCATGGCCTTGAGCGCCTGAAGCTTGACAAATCCATATGACACCCCTGCGACAGTGGCAGAGACACGACACACCAAAGCAAGCGTGCTCTTTCCACTGTACGGCATGATGGACGCGCAGAGGGGCGACCAGTACCTTTTTCACCAGGTAAATTCGCACCAGCCTACTTGCACCTGATCTCCGCCTTCACTGCACTTTGAGCTGATACCCAAAACAGGCCTCCCGCTAGTCGACAGCAACAGATAGTGTAGCAAAGACGTCCCAGCTACGACACTGTCTGAAGCTTCACCAGCCGTGGTAATGAACGTGCGTACTCAGCATCTGCAATCAACATATACATACAGACGGATAACAAACAAATTTAGCACTTCTGCTCTCTCCTCCTACCGGCTTCGGAGCTGACCTTTTGCTCAAGTTGAGACACACAGGCTGAGCGTTCGCTGTGACGATTCACCACGCCCATGGATATTTACGTAATAGTGTGTTCAGCAAATATGAGGGCACACAGGCTAGAACCCTGTCTTGAAGAATGGGTGCCTTGCGTGTTACGCATATGTCCGCGACAATCTATCATCCCCAGAGTTTCTACAACAAGCCACAAATCTCAGGGACGAACCCACTTACCTGATGGTGATCACGAACAGCTTTCGGGGGACTTCATGAACACATTAAGGTTTCCTTCCCTGCAGTCCACCTGACAGGTTATGCCTGCAGAGGATCACAACAGATGGGACTTACATGAGACCAAGGAAATCGTGTAATCAGTGCTCTTTTGCTGGCAGCAAAACGCAAAACCGAGAGCTTACGTTTGATGCCTTGTAGTACCATCCTACGGTCAGTTGTCTCAGTGAAGGGGGGTCATGATATCCAAAAGAAGCTCTCAAGGGTTCGCCTCTATCCCCAAAACAAGGGACTTTCACCAGCTCCTTGCATGTGTGTCTCTCAGCAGAGAGGTAGAAGGGTAATCGCGGCTGTTTCGGTCGCATGCCATGGACAGGACATGTATTCTGTGAAAGTAAAGCCTCGCACGTGTTGTCCAATATTGCAAGTGGGTATCTCAGCAAAGGGTGATATGCTATCTAAAACTCTCAAGGGGTCACCACTGTCGCATGTGGAGTAAAACCAACCAAAAGGGAAGGAAGATCGATTGTATAAAAGCCAGAAGTGGAAAGGAGACACCAACAGGTTTAGCTTAGTTGTACACCCATGAACTTTTGCAGTGCAGACCGGAGTTCGAATCCAGATGGAACCAACCAGAAATGCGTGAATTGGGAAAGCAGGGCAGTTCCCACAATGATATCTCAAGGCTGTCGCCCATTTTTATAGGAAATCAAAAAGAAAGGAGGACCAAAAAAAAAAAGAGAAAAAAAAAAAAGGTGGGAAGGCGATGAAAGACTAATGTGGATAGGAAAGGAGCCGTGAGAATGGTGTAACWAAAWARAAAAWCAGCCGWAARATGACCAMAWAAWAATKTACCTTGAAAGGGAAAAAAAAAAAAAAAAAAAAAAAAAAAGAGAAGAAGAAGAAGAAGAACACCATTTCTTGGTCATGCGAATCTTCCTTCTCTGTATCGTTCCAATTTTAACGGACGTCCCGAAGGACAAACGACATGATGTACGTATATGAGAGAGCGAGAGAGAGTTTTTATTCAAAATCGTACTGAATCGCCGTTCCAACCCACTTCATGATTACCCATGCCAGCGAAGAGCAATTACCGAAGTGCATGTTGTTCGCAGTTGAGAACAACAGAGTCCAACAATGGGCCATGACGTTCTATAAAATCCTGCATGCCAAACCGGACCTGCCACTAAATATGGTCAGGATGCAAACAGTGAGGAAACACAACACGCGCCACGATGATGATACAATCCAGTCATAACAATATCGGAAAAGAAAGACAACGGCATTCACAGCCAAGAGTGTCTGTATGTCAATCAAACACAGACTCGACGGGCACAGGATGTCAATGCTGCAGTTTTTTCCAAGGTGGAACTGCACATGCGATCCATGAAAAAGGTAAGGAGGTAGGAATCCGTCGCCGCTGCAGACGCAGAGGAGAGGAAGTCCGTAAAACCGGCAGTACACCCACACCCATACATCGGCCGTGGGTGTCAGGCTGATGCCGGTGCCGCTTCGGGGGGACGCCAATTTGATTATCTACGGTGCCTCGCCTGCCCCGCCCCACCAAGCCCTGCCCCACCAAGCCGCGCCCCGTCCCGCACGGGCCCGGAATTTGAATTCCGTGGCCTGGACGGGCCCGAAATTTGAATTCCGTGGCGACGAGTTCTTTCCACAAGGCTGGGGCCGTGTACTGATGGTTTGAACGGCCATTGGATACAGGCTTGCCGTGTCGGGCCTGCCTTCTCCTGAAGGGTGAAGTACAGAATCGAGTGATACAGAGAGACGGCAATAGACACACTGCAATAATGCAGAAAGGAACAAGAGTGACACGGCAATAACGCAGAAGGAAGAAGAATGACAAGCAATGGCCAATTGCTCTTTGCTCTGCACAGGCAATTGCAAATGTATTACTAGTATAACAAGTCCGATCATACAACCGTGTTTTCACACTCCAATACCGTGCACACGTCCTCTACATGTTTCCACCGGGTGCTCTTCGGCATCATCAGGAGGATAATCGCATGCTCCTGATATTGCCTTTCGGCCACCGGAACTCGACCACCCACTGAGCATTTAGGGGCCATCTGGCCTTGCCCTCATCTTATACACGTAGCCCTCCCTTTGCACTTGCACCAACTCTCCTCGATCTCCATGTTCACCATGACCGATCGACGACATCTACATGTCAATCGACAATCATTTTCTTCTTCACATTTCCATCTCCTCCTCCTCCTCCTCCTGCTGCTGCTGCTGCTGCTTACTTCCTTTCCACTGATTGCACTCCCTTCTTTGCGTCCGGTCATGGGTCAAGCGCATGCATAGCGTCATCAGCAGTAGAATCCCGAAATCTCTGGCTGCATCTTTTCAATAACGACTTAAAAACGCTGCTATGTGCTCTCCTAGACATTCAAAGAGTCGGATGTACTTGATCAGTGCTCCTTATGAAATGCACGTTCGTTGCATCCCGTCCATTTAGGATGGTATTCTTCTCCCCCCCCCCCCCTTTGTTTTTAATTTCTCTTTCCTTTTTTAATAAGGGCCGCAGCCTTGAGATATCATTATCGAGCTGGCAGGCCCTATGTACTTCAGAATTGCATGTAGTATGTTAGTCATCTGCTCTCACTGTAGTTTGAACTCAGGTCTGTATTTCAACAGTTTAGGATGGTATTCTAACTGGTGCTGTTTCATTCTTAAAACGTTGTCATTTCGTCTTCTTCTTCTTCTTCTTCTTCCTCTTCTACTTCTTCTTCTTCTTCCTCTTCTTCTTCAGTGGTTGAAATGCGAGGTGGGTGCCGTGATGCGGATCTTGGGAGAAAGCCCCTGAGTGCCAGATGCACTTCCTGGCCGAAAAGCGGCGTCGGGCAATGTGCACGTTTTCCCCGAACACAACGCACCCTTATTTTGGCTGTATCTGGCCGGAAATTTAGCTTGTGTACATTCATTTTTAGGGTGCGTTATGTTCGGGGGAAGACGGTAGTAATGCATGGGGAAGTGTAATGCTTGTTCATTAGAAGGATGTACGAAAAGCAGTGCTGGCACCCTCCTCCTCCTCCTCCTCCTCTTCTTTTAATTCTACAGTCTGCCCCGGAATACAATGTACGGTCATTATAGCTGAATTTGGTGTATCTTTTCAGTCTAAATTCAGCTATAATGACCGTACGTTGTATTCGGGGGAAGACTGTAGGGGCTTAATTTATACCCCAGTCAGCTTAGCCGTTTGGTTGAGCGTCCAACTCCCATGTGGGAGGTCGCGTGTTCGATTCATGTCAATTCTGCATCGATTCATGTGAATTCCGCGGTTCAAGTACGTCGATTTAGGCTGCTTCCTCTTTGCCGGTAGGTGGGAAGTCTCCGACTCGTGGACGCAGACAGCCTGCTATACAAGGACCTCCCACATGAATCGACGCGGAATTGACATGAAGGATCGAACACGCGACCTCCCACATGGGGGTTGGACGCTCAACCAAACGGCTAAGCTGACTGGGGTATAAGTTAAGCCCCTATACTTAAGAAGAACAAGAAGAAGAAGAAGAGGAGGAGGAGGAGGAGGGTGCCAGCACGTAGCTGGGTGTGACCGTAACTGGGTGCGGACGAGGACACAGAGTATTCCGTGCCGAGGTGGGGTTGACCGTCCAACTCCCATCTGAGCGGTCGCGTGTTCGATCCTTGAGATCGGCTCGTGACGTAGGATTCTTTTTTTGTTTTTTGTTTTTTTTAATGTAGGATTCTTTTCAATTCCATTCCATTCAATTCCATTCCATTCCATTCCATTCAATTCAATTTGATTTGATTTGATTTAATTCAATTCAATTTGATTTGATTCAATTCAATTCAATTTGATTTAATTCAGTTCAATTCTTCTTCTCATGACCTATCACTGCTGCTCTTCTCATGACCTACCCACTACCGAATCGCTGTCATTTCGGTTTTTTTTTCCTGGAATTCGCCAAAACCCGGTTTCAATCTTCACCCTTTGTTTTCCAACGTCTTTGACAAACTTTAAACCATTTGGATCGCACGTTCCAACTTTGCAAGACGTGATGTTTTCACGGACTTGCGTGATTGCCTGTTCTCCAGGATCGGTAACAGGCAGAGGTCATTAACGTCCGTCTTTTTTATTCACCCCTTAGTATTTCTGAGCCGTTCTCGCACGTTTATCATACATACCCCTTACACCGGAATGATTTCTTTCAGTGTCCTCCAAACTTCCTTTCTGTGCTAAGATCTATAAGGAGAGAGATTCAGGATGGGGGAACGTACGGGAGGAGCGAATAAAAAGGGACACAGAGAAAGAGAGAGGGAGAAGGCACGCTGATGACCGAGACGACTCGCAGCCCCAGGACGTGCAAGCGGGAGATAAGAGATTCAGGAGTGTGCAGTGAGAGAGAGAGAGAGAGAGAGAGAGAGAGAGAAGTAACACAAGGAGTCTGGTTAAGACATCCAGCTGTTATGGCTGAGATCACCGGTTCGAATCCGTGAGGCCACGGATTTGGGTCTTGGCAAACATAACATACTTTTATCAGTGAGCAAGACAAGAGTGCGCAAGACAAGAGTGAGCAAGACAAGAGTATCACAGTAATACAAGGACAAGGTCGGTCGGAAAGGGAAATCGCGGAGAGAGACGGGGATTTGTGGGACGAAAATCAAAGCATCAGAATGCGGCTAAGTAGAAAAATGCGAGGATACGTACACCAGAATCGACCAGACGAGGCGGACGTGGACAGAGACGTTGGGTCGATGGAAAAAGCCTTGCAGACGAGGAGGAGGCGGAGAAACACGTCAGCGAATAGGAGGAACAACAGAGAGGGATGGAGGGAAAGAGGGAGAGAGAAGGGAATCTGTGGGACGGAAATCGATGCATCATAATGCGGCTAAGTAGAAGAATGGGGAGGATACGTACACCGGAGTTTTCCATACAAGGTGGATGTGCACAGAGACGTTGGGTCGATCGAAAAAGCCTTGCAGACGAGGAGGCGGCGGGGACACACGTCAGCGAATAGGAGGAACAAGAGAGAGGGATGGAGGGAGAGAGAGAGAGAGAGAGTCTAAGTTTGAAAAGTGCTGAACGTTGATCAAGCTGAAAGAACGGAGGCGATCGACGAGGGTGAGCACATGAGACAATCTCCCAGGGACGTGGCGATCCAAGCGTACTGAGGTACAGCAGCTGTGATTGACTACATCCTCTTCCCCCCACAAGACTACCCTTCCCGACGATCTCTCGCCAGATACATCATCGCTGATGAGCACCACCTCTCTCTACTTGTTCCTTCTTCTGACCGCCTGGAAATCGACGACTGCCCGCCGACTTCCCTCCTTTTTCCACCTCTCTCTCCTCCCCCTTCGTCTCGTCTTCTCTCCTCGTATCCGTATAGCTGCACCAACCCAAATCATATAAGGCAACTCTTTCATCATAACGTATAGCCGCTCCTCTGCATAGCATTCCCCCATCATCATCCCCCAATTGTCCATTCTGTATATTGTCACCAACATGCTATGCGATAGAGCCAAGATCAAGGAGGCGGCGCGGAAGAGCGAACGTCATCTCGTCTTCTCTCCTCGCATTCAGGTATAGTTGTGCCAATTCAAATCATATAAGGCAACTCCTTTTGTAACATATATAGCCGTTCCTCTCCATAGCATTCCCCCTCATCATCCCGCATTGTCCATTCTGTATATCGTCACCACATGCTATGCGATAGAGCCAAGTCTGTACTTTGTCAGCCACAGGACCTCCTCCGTGCACGCACGGTTTCGAACCGGCGCCCTCAGCCTCAAGAGCCGAGCCTCTTAACCACTACAGCCATGGCACGGCGTACAAAAACTGGATCCATGCCGATCCTGATATCCACCCCACCCCTGCAAGGGTGTAGTATCCTTCACACACACACACACACACACACACACACACACACACACACACACAACACTACACAAGGCATCCGCCACACAGGCAGTAGTCGCACACTCCGCTCTCATCCAGCACAACTGATTATCCACCGATTTATCCACGGGCCACCACATCCAGTATGATGTGCCAAGATCAAGGAGGCAGCGCATAGCATGGTTGTGGCGATATACAGAACGGGCAATGCGGGATGATGATGGGGGAATGCAATGGAGAGAAAGGACGATACGTTAAGCAGTGGACGATAGAGCCAGATCAAGGAGGCGGCGCGATAGAGCCAGATCAAGGAGAGGGCGCGGAAGAGAGAGAACGGATGAGGACCATGAAGGGAAACCAAGTAAAACAGGGATGGACGTACAAGAACGGCGGTGACAAAGAGACGATGGGACAAACACAAGGAACAGGAGGCGAGAGGTGGACACGTGGAAGGAGAAGATTAGGAGAAGTGAGGAGGACAGGAAGACGGGAACACATGCGGAACAGGGGGTGGAGGGAGGAAAGAGCAGCAGCACTCTACTCGTACGATGGCTATTTTTTTACTTGCCAATCGACGAGAAGTGACCAGGTAGGAGTCGTTGAAAGCGACAAGGTACCGGAGGGGGAAGGAAGTGAGAGCAGGTGAAGGACGAAGACGTGAGGGTGAGCAATCATGGAGGACGAGTTCTGCTGCTGGTCATGCAGCCGCCGAGGACAAACTAGACGTAATCGCGGTCAGGTGCATCCAGTAGCGGTCATAAATACGGCAGATACTCACACAAGCTTCTCGGTTGATTTCTGGACGGACTTGCAGCCAGATACATGCAGAACCAGACGTAATTGCGTCCAGATACGTCGACAAAAGTGCTGGCGGGAGTAAGTATGCTACCTACCATCAGACCCGCAAAGCAGCACCATAAATAACGTGCAGGGTGATATACGTACATACTGTAACCATTCACCGAAAACTACCGATATCTCCTCCGGTCATTTTTTCACCTCCTCATCCTCACAGCCATCGCGTCGTCCTCTCTCCTCTTGTCCTCCCATTAGCTTGTGTACCTTCACTCTCCCACCAATCCCCTACGCCGTCCCCACACTTCATAACATGCCGACGTTATCTTTCCGCTTTGCCCTCTCATATTCAACAGCAACAAGCTATCACGTAGAAGAAGGACCACACGGAGGAAGAGGAGGCGACAAGGAAAGAGAAGACGGGAGGATGAGGAGATGTTGGGGGGGGGAGGAAGCAGATGAAGACAAGAGCCGCGGTGGAGGAGGTGGCTACGAGGAGAGCAACGGAGTAACAAGGAGGAGGAGAAGGAGGAGGAGAAGGAGGAGAGAAGGACAATGACAACAGGAGAGGAGCACGAAAAGGAGGTAAGAAAAGAATTAACTAACGGGTTGCTGCAGTGGGAGGAGCAGAGGATGGACTGAAAGATCAAGGGGGACGATTCCGAGCGTCAAAGGCGATAAGCCCGAAAAAAAGTTATGGCCGGCGCGACGATAAACGGGGGTGAGAAGCCGCACGCACATCAGAGCCAGGCGCTGCTGCCGATTCGATTCCCAGCCTCCTACCCCAGCCGGAAACGCCCGCAGGATAAACAGAGCGGAGTCTCAAAAGGGAGGGAACCAGCATCTCTAATTACCACACACTCCCAAAAAAATATATATATTGTCACATTGTGAATCAGAGCGCAGAAGCGAAAAAAAGGGGAAAGAAAAAAAGAAAAGGAAAAAAAGGGGAAGGGGAAGACGTAAGGAAAGCTCCACCTGTTCATAACCTCTTACGTACAAGGCCAGCCACGTGGATGACAGGTTGAGCGCTGGCTGCCCCCATCCCCGTGTGTCACAAGGACCCACTTGCACGCAGCCAAAAGGCAAAGAGGTAAAGAAAGGGAGGAGGAAACCAAACCTGACAGGGAAAGAAAGATAGGGAAAGAAAGATAATCCAATTATCACAAAGCAAATAACACATCCCACAGATCAACGTATCTTTTTTTTTTTTTTCTTTTTTTCTCTTTTTTCTTTTTTTCTTTTTGTCTCTTTTTCTTTTATATATATTGTCACAAAATATCCAATTACCACACATTACCTATTTCTCTACTTCCGTCTCTCCTTCTCTCCCTCCTTGTCTTCTCATCCACCTCTCCTCGCCTAGCCCTCTAGAAATTTCCTGCCCCTCCACCTAAATAAGTATTTTCTCCCTCTCTTACCCTCCGTCGTCCTCGCCGTCGCCATTCGTTATTTTCCCTATTCATCCGCTCGTCCTCGTCGTCAACCTAACATCACATAGACTAAGGGCCTAGTTGCACCACTCACCATCCGTCTGATTCCGTCAGGATTTTTTGAATGCACCTGGACACGAATTTGTCCAGATGAGTTCAAAACCTTTACCGCTGATGAGTGGTGCAACTGGGGCCTAATCGACTACCGGTAGAAAAGGAAAGCGGTGAGCGGAAGCAGAGGAGATGGAGACAGGCGAAGAAAAGGAAGGCGGCGAGGGAGATGCTGACAAAGATGAAGATACCGAACGGGAGCGCGGCGGGGGCGCCAAAGGGCCTCGCTGCACTGCTCTCGACATGCACAAAAGACAAAAATCATGGCGGTGAACTCTCGTTTTTCGCACATTTCGAGGCCCAAAGGCCCAAAGGGTCACACGACAACGAAGGAAGGGTAATAGGAGGGAGAAAGGAGATGGAGAGGAATGAGCTTACCGTCAGGAATGACTAAGGTAGCCACTTGACGCAGAAGTGGAGGAGGGGGGGTCGAAGACGACGGAGAAGGCCAGGGGCTGAGCTGCCGCTGCTCATGGAACGCAGATGATGGATGACCTCCGACACGCCAGCGGCATAACGCTGCGCACACCCCCACCCAAACTGGCAAGCGACACAAGCCTGCGCTAAACCCCGCCCAGACATCCAACTTGCGGCACAACCAGCACGTACTTTGTGGACCACCCAATCTCCCGGGGGCGAAACAGGGACTGAACAAATGCGCAGTAGAACGAGGGATCAAGTCCGTGGGGCTGAATGGTACACCCAAGACCAACAACGCCACTGTAGCTATACCCAGGTTCGAATCCAGACGCAACCAGATGGACGGAATGAGGCCTTCTTGAGATATCATGGATCTGACCTGCCCTAGGTAATCCAGAATTGTACTGTTCGATTCTACTCATCTGCTTGAGTCTGTATTTGAACAATTCAGGGATGTACCAACTGAGGCCAGCAGTTGGTAGTTGGTAATGAGATAATTCTGACTTACCTGTGGCTGGTCAATTCAATGATGAAATCTCAAGGCCATTGCCCATTTTCTGGGGGGGGGGGGGGGGGGGGGGGAAGAAATGTACGCCCAAGGCCCAAGATGGGGACTGCAAGGAAACACTCCAGCCGGCACTAAGCTCTTTGCCCTGGTGCTACCCGGCACCCTACACTCAACCAAGTCACTATAGCCGACATAGTGCCTCAGGATTCTTGACTCTTTTCCCGTCGACGGGGCAAACTGGTGCTGGTGGCAAGCTTCACCATCCATAGCTGACAGTTCGGGTGACAACCTACCCGCGTGCCACTGCGGAGAGTTTGGATTGGAGAGTTTTGTATACTGGGTCGTGGATAGACCTAGAGAGAACTGTTGAGAAGTTTCATAGAAGAAAGTAGGATATCATACATCAATGGAGGAGATGGAAGATGATGTAAACAATAGGAACAGTGCTCAGTTCCCACCCACCGGACAAGCGGAACAACGGGGCTACTAAGAAGATGAAGACTACTTTTGGGCATTGTTGGCGTTATGCTTTGGCAATGGCATATACCCTGTGGACCTGGATCCAAGAGAAATGGCCATACAAGGAGGGGGATTTGAATTAAAGTTAAACACGTTGTTGGACAGATTAAAGCCAAATTGATTGAAGGAGATAATGGTCTCCGTCTTGAAGGATAACACGAGATTCCCCTTAAAAAAAGTAAACGACGACACCATTCATGCCTTCGAAGATGGTTGGGTCTTGAATAATGTGTGTTTTCCCTTGGAGCCTCGTAACGGCTCAATTGACATTTTGGTCGGCTCCGGACCGGTAACGGTATCCCAGGGCCTGTTGACTGAACTTTTGCCCGTTCTTAACCTCACCATACTTTCCAAAGATGCTACTGCTAAAATTAGACTGAGAGTATGAGACTTATATTTTTCCGGTTGGTACCGGGTCTGCCAGACTTCTAACGACCTTAAGCTCTACCGGGCTACAGGGCCTAAATCGACACCTACTACAAGGCCTAAATTGGCGTTTCAAGCATCACCGCTAGATTTGTTTCGCCTGCAAAAGTGAATTTAAACTTTCAATCCTTGTGCAGTTCATTCATAGTACATTGTCGAAGCAAGTACAAAGGTATTGTATTGTGCTTTACGCTTGTTGCATAAATAATTGTGGACGAAAGTAGACTGCACCTGACATATATATTATATTCTTTTTATTTAGATGTATTTTTATTTTTATTTATATTTTATGTATAATTTATGTTACTTTAACGTATATGGACGTGACTACGAACATATACATCCATTTTTTAATTGTAATTATTGACAGTGCACGTATGAATGGGAACCGAGGACAAACAAAAAAGAAAAATGGGGGATGAGGGAACACTAAGGAGAAGGAGACGAACGAGAGAAAAAAAACGATGAACGGGAAGGAGGCGAAAACGAGAGTGGAGGAACACACATATCAAGAAGAAGACGAGTACAAAAAGAGGAAAAGAGCGCGAGAAGTTAGACGAGTGTGAAGGCTCTAGAAGGAGGCAAAGATGCGAAAAGGGAAAAGGCGATTGCGGGACAAAGAAAAAAAAAAAGTGCACATAGTCGAAGAAACGAAAAAAAAAACAAGAAGAAAAAAAAGCGCGTCGAAGGATGAAGATCGTCCGCAGAAAAAGAAGAACAAGAATAAGAGGGAGAAAGAGGGGGGAGAAAAGGCTCACCTGGTGACGCGTGCACTCCTTCGTAATCGAGCAACGACCATGTGCATCAGATAAACTCCGATTTATAATACATTTTTCAAGTCATTCCACAAAGTTTAACTGAAGTCAAGCATGAGCGAGTTTTCTTTCTCGTTAATCCTCCCGAGCGCGTTCCCTTATCTATAGATGGTAGACAGGATCAACAAAAAATATTGTGCATGTGTGTCGGACCCGCCGGGATGGCGGTCCGTCAGGATGGAGAAGAAGGGTTGGCGAAGGAGGAGGTAGAGATGGAGCTGGAAGGGACAGCACAACCCCAACGCAGACTCAACACGCACGTACTTCAAGATGTGCAAAAGTGAAAAATGATGAAAAACAAACAACAGTTGGGGTATACCCCCAGCGGACTGACTAGACTGGACTGGAATGGCCTCGTACCGACAGTGGTACCGGGCAAGACTGGACTAGACTGGAATAGTACACGGCGTGTGGGGTCAGGCCACGACCTGGTCCTGCAGGCCGAACTGGCAAATGGCCAAACAGACCCTGGTTGTAGGCCAGGGTAGATGGGGGTCCGCTCCACGATCCTCAGACCTGTAATGGATCGCAAGAGCCATAAACACGTTATCCGCAAAAGCAGCAGAACTTTGCAATAAAGAAAGCTAAGAAATCTAAGATGTGGAGCACGCTCCATGCGGAGTCCATGCGATGCAGTCTAAGCTACATAATGTCAAATGAAAAGCAAATGTCTGGTATACACATCGTAGCTAACAACAGAAAATGAAATGTAGCAATATACAATCCTAAAGTCCTGAAGACAACTTGAATAGCCTCAGTGCTGAAAGGAAAAAAAACAATATGTCATAAGATAATATCATGTCGTTGAACCACTAAGAATGGGATGGTCTCAAAGGGGGTGAATGCAGCCTAAGAATTTAAACTCCTAAGGGCAGTCACACATCAAGTAGGATAGGTCATCAGGCTCAAGGTGAGAGAGTGGTAGCGAAACAAAACCAATGACCCTAACAGATAGACCATCAGGGCGGGTAATGCTCGACAAAAGGGTGACACCATGCAGGGTCGACCATGGAAAAAGGGAGCCTGGAATATGGTGGAGATATGCCTAACTGAAGGCATGCAAGAGCCGACACTAGGGTGATGAGGGAAGTGGGTGAGGGAAACATGCACACAACTCACCGACTGGGGAAGGGAGGAGCTAAATCTGGGAGCAGGGAAGCCAAGATAACACTACGGTCTCAATGCCTATGCGATACCAAGGGAGAGCCCAACTCAAGGAGACCCAGCTAAGTGAATATACATGGAATATATAGGGTAGGGTGGTGGTGTGGGGGGGGGGACTCAGGGAGTCACGTCCAAAGTAGTTAAAACCGATAAGGTGACTGAAGTCGATAAGGTAGCTGAAGTCGTCGAAGTAGTCGATGACGTCGATGAAGTAGAAGTCGAGTCGATATGGATGCAAAGCCACAAAACGCTGACATCCGGAATAAGATGATGATGGAGTATCTAATGGTGTGAGTCAGTAGGGAGATAGTAGGTGATCAAAGTGTCAATCGTCAAGACGTCGAGGGCATCGACGAGTGCGTTGTGGACGTGCGGAGGCGTCCGTCTGTTGCTGAAGAACGACCTCAGAGGGAGCAGACTCGTCCTCGGCGATCTCCTCTGTCGGAGGAGGAGGAAAAGGGTCAGTTGGTTGAATAGGAGCAGATGTCTCAGTACGACGAGTACGGTCATATGCACGCACCAACATCCGGGCGGCCGAACGCATCCCCTAGGGGTCCCATACGTTTGGGCGTTCGGGTTTGGGCGTTCCGCCCGTCCTGAACGTCGGTTACCCTGTATATATATATATATATATATATATATATATATATATATATATATATATATATATATATATATATATATATATATACCTATGTTTGGGTTTTCGTGTGGCCTAAGGAGTCCACGGTTAAGGGTTAAATTGAGATCAAGGTTGAGAAAGAAAGGAGAATTCTCTTCCTTTACCGATTGTTTACTTTTTAAAGATTTTTTAGTCGGACGTTGGTCATGGGTCTGGATTCGTGGTCCTCGTCCAGGACATCCCAGGTCCTAGACTCTGCATGGAAGGGATCACCCCCCCACGCAGAGTCTATTTCCCCTGCCCACGGGGACACTCAGCCTAAAGGCCGGAGGTGGCCCGGAGGCCGCACGGTTGTTCCTTCAGTCGTGCAATATCGTGAAGGGGTAGACCCTCACGATACTTCGAGTTTGAGACTTGAGTGTCATAAGCGTTACTCGAGCCCACGAGGGACTATTTGGTTATGGGTACTACATAATACTTCATCATCGTGGCTGATTGCATATTCATATATTGCTAGTCGATATGGGAAAGTCCTGCGTCCGCTCGGTTTTATACTAAGTCTCGCGCGCGTGGCCTATCCGATTTTCGCATCGGAAAGTTATGGGATAGGTACTGAAGGGACTAGGATTGTATGCATTTTTTGTTTGTGTCGTTGTCCGTGTGTGTGTGTGTGTTTTAATTTTTATGTCTTTAGAGTGGCGTGTTCGTGCGTCCTAGTCGACGGGCGACGGGTCGAGCTTGGGACCTCAGCCCCCCAAGGTGTCGGTTCGCATGTGAGTCCAATAGAGGTGTGAAACCGTGTGTACCCCCTATGCTACAGTGAACGAGAAATGCCCTCGACTGGTCCACCTCTGCGATTGCAGCTGATTAGCTTTCGTACTGTAGACTGGTAGCTCGACGGGGATACGCCCACCGAAGGAGGTGACAGTTCCCGTAAGGTGGAGGTAAGTCGTGCCTCGCGTAGGCCCTATCCTCTCGTAGGGGCTCGCGAGAGGTATGGTTGGCGCACTCGGTCTGAGCGACTTGCAGAAACTCCATGTATATGTCTCGATGACGAATAAACCAACTCCTACGTGACGCGACCGAGAAGGTCCCGCCCCGCTTGTGCTGTGCTGGACCGATGCGCTCGACAACACCTCTTGTATGAGAGCATGAAGGCACGAAAGGAGGAGAAGCAAATGATCGGGAATTAAAGTGCATGTGGGAAGAAGAAGTATTCAATGAGACAAAATATGCACTAAAGGAGATGTGAGTGACGAACGACAAGAGGACAACGATGTTGAACACGAGGAGCAAAGGAGGAAGAAGTGGAGAAAGAAGGAGAGGGGGGACGAAGGTAGAGCGAACGGTGAAGAAAAAGAAGAGGAAAAATAAATGTCGAGGGTGGCAAAAGACAGAAGAAGAAAAAGGTAGGAGCGAATTCGAGGAAATCAATGAGCAAACTTACTCGTGAATGACACCGTTTTTGAATACATAACACCCTTATTATAAATGAATTGGACCATAAATATAATTTGTATACATTCATTTTTATTATTTGATTTTTCGCGTTGTTTATATATTGTTAGGTGAC